TGTGTGTCTCTCTCTCTCTCTCTCTCTGTGTGTGTCTCTCTCTCTCTCTCTCTCTCTGTGTGTGTCTCTCTCTCTCTCTCTCTCTGTGTGTGTGTGTGTCTGTCTCTCTCTCTCTCTGTGTCCATAAACCCCAACAATCCCACCTGGAAAAAGAGTGGTACAAATTCATGTTGTAAAAATCTGTCTCGGACTGTTTTGTCAACAACCCTGGTCCATATTCCTTTGGTGGGAATAACCATTTCCTGTATTGTCCCCACCCCTCCCCCAAAAAACCAAATGGAATTCCATTTGAAGAATGCAGCTTCATTCGGTGCATTCAGATTGAGAGATGTGGTTGCAGTTTTTGAGCTGACACTAATCTTTTTACAAAAGATCATTTTCACAAGCGATGTCTGAATCTGGTGTCTTGGCCAATTCCCTGTCTGATACTTCTGCCTTTGTTTTAATCTTGTGCTTTTTTTTTAAAAAGAGAATGAGCATGAAATGTTAATTTTTATTGCAAACCAGTACAAAGGGGCTACGAGATTAATTTTAGTGAGGTTGGCCTGTTGCTTATTACATGGCAAATGAGCAGGTTCAGTGTGCCCAAGTTTGCTGTGATTCATTAATGCTGCAGGACTTCTGGATACTCTGTGTTTATTCAAGTAATTGGGCTAATAAGAGTCTAGGTGCTTCAGCAAATGTCCTGGTCTACTAACTCCAGTACTTTGCATCCCTGAGCAACTTGTCATGAGCATGTTTGTTCAAAAACGGGTTTGCTACTTGATGCCAAACACTGGCTGTAATTCAGTATGAGGTGATTTAACTTGAACTTGTTTAGAATCCTCCTTTTCTGTGGTGTCACCTTAGGAACCAAATGCTGATTGGTGTTGACTTTTCAGAATCTCCTACAGTGCTGCAATGCCCGTCCCACTGGCCCCTTCTGTCATTGTCATGTTCACTTAAAGGATTGATCTGAGGATTGACTTACAATCCATGCAAATATGATATGGTTTTCTTTTTATGAGCTGGTTTCGTTGCCTGATTGCATGCTCTGGCTTTTATTTCTCTCTACCCACCTCAGCCTATAGATCAGGTTTGGACATCAGTAATTTTTCCCCACCGGCTTCATTACAGAAGCATTATAATGCTTTCTTTTCACTGATTACAAGAAGCAGTTCAACTTGTCAAAGGCAAGGCAGCTGCTAATTCCCCAAAGACACCCATTGTGTCATCTGTCTCGGAGTTTTAAGGTCAGATTAGTCTTTACTGTCTGTCTTTGCTGAATCCACTTGCTTGTTCTATTGGCATTTGCCCCAGGGATCCTAAACTTGCAAAACCAGACTGCTCTTAGCTGTCACTGAGAAGCATTGGATAATATGAAGCTGCTCAGAGTTGGATGAATGTTGAATGCTTCTCCCTCATTAAATACCCTTTTTTTGTTTAGACAGTGTGCGTTTTATAGATACTTGGACAGAGAAATATCTCTTTAGAGATCAGATTCCATCAATGTTCCCAACTGTTCCGCGTATGACAAAGGTGGATTTGCTTGTGTTTTGCACTGGGGTTGAAACCAAAGAATGTACAGAAGCTGATTCTCGCTCTAAGGTCAGCGGGTTCTGGTCAAATCCACTGAGTGGAACTCTCTCCTACTCCCACTGCCCAAGATAGGCCTTTTGTGAATTAGTTCTTGGGTCACAGTGGGAATTGGAGTGGGTGTGCAATGGGGCTCCACCCTGCCAGTTTGCAGTGTAGGCAAGCTGTAAATCATTAACCCCTGCCACCCCCATCCCTTGCTCCCCACCAACAACCACCAAGCGGTATCTCCATAGACTGTTTATCATTATGAGCAATTGTTACTCTGCTTAAATGCAATTCTGTTATACTTGAACACAGCCAAGGAGATGACTGCAAACTCCTGTGACCAACCCTGACCCTGGCCTTGGCACTTTTATCCCAGCTTAATCCTCAGCAGTGGAGAGGGAAAACGTCCCAGAAGCAAGTCCCCCTATAAGGATTGTGCTTAGCATTCTGTCTGGGTTTTCAGATTTTTGTTTTTGTTGTTTTTTTTTTGGAAGAGTGCTCTTTGGAACTGCAGGAATGACCCAGCCATACTGTCAACACAACCCATCAGTGAGCAAATTGGAGGGTGTGAGCTTCTGTGTAATACAATGACCCAATTGCAATGCTTTTGTTTTAATTACATTCCCAGATCCTCATTCATGGCCACTTCAGAGTAGCAGGTGTAGCTAACCCACTTCCACCATTTTTTTTTTGTTCCCTGTGTCTACTACCTTCCTCTCGAATTAGGTGTAACACCACTATCAGCCTTCCCTCTTGTCGCTGTCCAGCATCTGTTGTGTAACCTGCCAATCCTTGTACTTCCTCTGAGATGCCTGGATTTTCAAATACCCTTTAGTTCTCTCGCACATCCCTTAGCCTGATTGACTGCACGTATTCACACTTGCAGTTCTTGCATGGGAGAATATTTTCTACAGAGCTCCTGTAATGTTGCATTCCATTGCTGGGGCTTAATTACTGAGTTAACCCTCCCTTTGCTGGAATTAGTCATGCTAACATCTGCCATGCTGTGAATTTGGCTTTGGACATCTGGGCTATTTTGGTTGTGAATTTTCCATTTCATAAAAGCCCAGACTTGCTAACTCAGCATATGAAGGTAGAGTGTAGAATCTAATGACCAGAAAATGTCTCTTCTGATCATTTCCAAATCTCAAGTCGAGCTATTGAGTGCTCCTCAAAGAGCCTAGGTTGCACTGACACTAGTCTGTGTGGTGTTGGAGTGAGTCTTGGTTGGAAATCTAGAGCTCTGGCCTGATCTGGCAGAATGGCTCCACTTCAAGCAACAGATAAATCACAACTCCAGTCCAATTTAGCAGAGTAAACTGGTTCCCTAATTCAGCACTCTTTTATGCTCAGTCCAGTCCCTTTGTAGCTGGAGCCATGACTGTTATTTGCTCTGCACAATTATCCCTAGAGTGCCTGCAGCAACTGAATCCCAGATCTCTCAGCATTGCTTAATTTTTAACACTAACTAGTTGGATCAGCATGTGTCTCTTTTGGAGAGAGAATTTGGATGCCTTCAGTGGGAAGGAATATCTGTCTCTTCTCCCTGAGATGTGGGTAATGCACTGCCATACTGAGCAGCTCCCTGCTGATCTGAGGTTTTGAGCATGTTGGTATCTTCCACGAGTGGTTCAGTCTAAATACATAGAGCTTGTGTAATCCATTATCATCAGCTCTCATTTGCATTCAGTTTGATGCAAGTTTGGGTTTTAATGGGCAGGAAGAGGCAGTGTCACTTCTGCTGGGTATAGCTGGCCAGGGCCTGATGTTTTTGGGTATGGCTGAGTAGGCTGACCTCCTGCCGAGATGGTATGTGTGAAAAACTGATTGATGTTTTAATCAGAAATGAATAAGTGATATGAGTGAAATTGCAATGTCTGATTGACCCTCTATCTGTTTAAGTGTTGGGTGTTTCATGAAGAGTGCTGGTGACCCCTCCCCTTTCCACACTGGGACCTTGGACCTTGGACCTTGAAGGGCAGGAGAGGAACCTAGACGTTTTAAAATTTGGTCTGTTGCTTGGCTGTTGGCTCAAGTTGCTGCCTTACTTTGATCAAGATGGACTTCCCATCAAAGTTCAATTTGTTGCTGGGAATGGGGATGAAACTACCCATTTGTCAGTGGGGCATAATATTTGAGCTTATCTACAACTAAAATTGGCTGTTTTGTGCAGAATTAGTGCAACATTAACCCTTCCATCCCCCAGTCTGCAGCTGTCCATTTCTCTCTCTCGGAGCTCCCACTTGAATCTTCTGGCTAACGGAGGCTTCTGTCTTTTGAGAACAGTTTCCAAAATGTACTGTTATCTCTTTGTAATGCTGAAGACC